TAGATTAGATTAGATTAGATTAGATTAGATTAGATTAGATTAGATTAGATTAAAATTTATATATATATATTGGAAAACACCAGGTTGAAGGTGACAGTCCTGGATTATACCATTCAGGTACAGGGAAATAGATGTGTACTGCTGTGCTGTTTGAACTTTCATTTGATTTGTGAAGAGGCTGGATTTTGGCTTTTATGTCACATATGTTGTACAGAACTTTTTCCCCATTGCTAATTATTACAGTTAAAATAAATAAATTACAGCCATATGCTATTACAAGGATTCCAAATATTGTATGAGTTAGCTAGTGACATAAAGAACCCAGATAGTATACACTGTGTGATTCATATTTTTAAAAATGTTTCATTTCAGTGGTGCTCAATTCATGAATGCTAAGTAGAAGGAAGAGGAAGAACTTTGGGTACTCATTCTTATGCTCTTATTAGCAAGCTACTGCATAAAATGATAAATTGAAATTGTTACATAGTTTGCTCACCAACATGATTATACCTTTATTACAGGCATAGTATAATCAATTGACTAAAATTACTCATGCTATTATTGAATGCAGATTCAAAATGAAAATGCACTGCTTTAAAAGCCAGCTGCTATTATAGGATGGGAAGTATTCTCAGTCAGGCTGTAGTGAAGTAAATATGGATACCCAACTATCCAAAACTTGCACTCTGGCAATTTAGAAATTTAACTTATAGTTTAGATTTTCTCTACTGTTTTAATATATATAATTCTGATTAAGTTTGTTTTATCATAACCTCAAATTTGTTTAAAATGTTCCTGTTCTTTTGAGCTTTGCATTTTTATGAAATGCATACAATTTAATGTTGCTTTAAAACTAAATAACAACCTTGTTATTTGTTGCTGTACTACTCTCACCTGTATTATTTATTTACTAGAATGATATTCCACCTTTTGTGCAAGAGTTTATAAAAGGCACACCATATAGGATGTGCTCTAGCCTTCTATTTTCCTCCCAGCAATCACCCTCTGAGGTAGGATGTGTTGATAGCAAATGCTCCATATCAACCAATGAGCTTCAGTGGCTGAGAGTTAAACTTATTACCTCAATGCCAGTCCAAAAATTTAAATCTGATAACAGGTTTGGAATGATTTGCTTCCAATGCTCTGAAACAGATTTGGAAGTACACATTAAGAAAATTTTCCACTCATGCAATAGCATAATTTGGATTCCTTGATAGCAGCTAATAATTGTTAATACTTATTTTCTGTTAATAATGGGTTGATATAAGTAAAACTAAAATTAGGTATCAAAAAGGGATAATTTTGAGTTCCAAATACAGAGTAGAACAAAAGAGTTCAGAGAAATATTCCAAATAATTTCTGGAGAGAAAAAAAAGTAAGATTAGTTGCAACTCAGGTAATTTTACTGCCAACATGATAATTGTTTTGTGAAGAGTAGAATTAATACATCACTTGAGTCCTGCTTCCTCATTGTGTGCTGGTGGTAGGTGTCCTTGAGAGATGAGCAAAAAGCACCAGGAGTATACATTATGAATATAGATTCCTAACAAATTCATAAAAAATGAGAAAGCAAATAAGTAGCTGTGTCAGGCCACTTGAGCTGGTTGATCACTTTAGTGACAATGGCAAAGGCATTTTGTATTGCATAAAAGAAAGCAATGGTAAACTACTATAGTTAATCAATAAAGGACAGAGATAATGTAATTCTATGCTGAATTTTGAGCTTGGGCCAGATGGCACTGAATATGTTCTCAAAGAAGCACTGAGGCTCTTTTGGAGTACTACCACTACCACCAGTGTTTGTGGCATGGTTAGATGAAAGCCTTAGGAACAATCTAGTTGCTGTGTTGGCTTATTATCGTGCAGAAAAAGAAAACCCAAAGCTACAGCAATATTAAAGTGGGAATTGAACACAAGCATAAACATGGGAAAGTTCAACACAGTGAAAGATGAAGTGAATTGGCTTCATAGTGACATTTTAGGCATCAGAAAATGGACAATTCACTTTACTACTCAGGGTACAAAGATCAAGTGTTGCTTTAATAGGAAGAATGGAGCAAGAACTATTTGAGTACAATGCAGTCACTGGCTGAATAATATCAGACTTCACAGACAGCTCTATCGTGATAGTTATCTATGTTTATGTTCCAATCACTGATGTAGAAGAGAAGGTTGAGATGTGTTTTATGGTCAGGTTCAATCTGACACCAAGAAAATATGTGTGTGCTTCTATTGCAGATGAATGCCAGAATTGAAAACGGTAAAAAAGAAAATCTGAAAACATTTGCCTAAGAAACAGAAATGGATCTGGAGAAAAACTTACCAGTTTTTGAATGATTCCATTATTAACACAGTTTTCCAACAAGCCTATATAATACCATGTGTACATTATCAGATGGAATATCTAAAAATGAAAGTTGCTGTGCAGAAGTTATATTGACCTCTACAAGGAGCTGTAATAAAACTAAAGATGATATTAGGAATCGAAAAACAAAACTTCCAAAATAATCTCTGAACTCAAATGGAGGTTCCATGCTTGAATTGCTATACTAAAGAACACCACTTGGAGATAGACCTGGCTCTTTGGAGGAGTCTAATACTGAGAAAGGTGGAAGAAAAAGTAAGAAGACAAAGTGGATGGAATCCATTTCGGTGGCAATGGATGCAGCTTCAGAAGATAAAATGGGCAAAATGGGAAATAGAGCGTGCTGGAGAACTTCTATATATGAGATTGCTAAAGGTCAACACTGACTTGATAGCACAAGCAAAATAATAAAAACAATACATTAGCTGCACAATGTAAATAATTAGTGCCTACTGTATTTGGAAATCATGTACTTTACAGCAGCACAAGATGAATGTTCCTAGAGTTTTGTTATCTTGTCAGTACACAAATATGACAAATGCAACAGGTTGAAAGCTGCTAAATTTCGATGCAATAGTTCAATGCAACTATTTGCAATTATTGGAACATCTCAATTTAGAATTATTTTTTCTATTTCTGAAACTCTTATAAATCAGTAATAAAATAGATACTTGGAAGGAGAACAAAAATTGCAAGATTTCAACTGAAATATATTGCTCACTGTGATAATA